GGCTTTAGCTTCTCAGTGCAGTGCTTTAACCCGCTGCGCCACCAGGGCGGGCCTACTTAGAGAAATTTTTAAGGTGTTTCACAGCATTTCACAGATATCTAGGCATGCAGTAGATGATTTTACAATGTTATATTTATTTGGAAATCTAGATTATAAAATAAAGGCAAAGTATGTGAATGGTGTGAAGTCTGCATGGTCCCTTCCCCCAGCTTCCCCCTTTCCTGGGAAAGCTCACCCCATACAGTGACCCCAAAGCCCTGCACTGGTTGGCAGTTTTGGAATGAGAATGACCACTTTAGGTTACATTTAATTGAATCTAGTTCTTGCTAAATAGAAATCACTCAGCTTTTCCTTGTGCTAATCTGCCAATAATGCCATGAGCCCACGTTTAATAATGACATGTAATAGGAATTCCTTCTGGCTAACCTTTGTACATGGTCTTTCTTCTTCATGTCTTTGAATCTACTTCCCATGTCGTTTAATATGTCAGTTTCCAAAAATTGTTCACTTACTATCACTTTTATTGCTTTCTCTAATGGACGTATGAATTCTGTTTACGTTATGATAAACCTGCCACATTCATATAAGGTTTATGCTCCAGTTACCTTAAAGTCTGTAATAGATCACCACCATCATTATCAAAACATATTTATTATATGTGTAATTGTGCATGACACAGCTTTCGGGTCCCAGCTCTATGAACTGTGTCCATGCCTGAGCTCAAGAAGAAACTGCTTTTTCTTCTTTTGTTTTGATAAATCAATGACTTTGCTATTCTTTTTCCTTAAAGGTTAAGGTTACTGGCATAACATCAATGACTTGATTCACTTTTTAGTTTGGACCATATTTATTTCTCTCCATTCTGTATATTAACTGATGAAATAATTGAGGTAGCTGGAGAAATTTTTACACAAATGACATAGCTATCTCATCTCAAATTTTCATTTGTGCTTATCGAATGTAGCTGAAGAGATGTAACTAACACCAGTAGAGCAGATTTATCATACAGGCATTGAAACTAGGATTTATGCTATTAAAATGGAAAATATGGTAATAAAGACAATTGAGGCCATTGATATCTGGGATTGTTGTGAAGAGACAATGCATTTCTGAATATCATACATTTATGCATTTGAGGCACATTTTATTTTTTGAGCAATTTCTAAGTAAATGTGATATTTTACTATGTAAGAATACAGGGTGTATTTCTACTGTTACTCTTAACACTAGCTGCATCACATTAACCAAAAAATAATGTAATTTGCTTACGGTTGCTTTAAGAAAGCAAGTTCAAGGGCAAAACATAGGTCTGTGAACATGCACTTTTCCATAAAGTTTCATAGGCCAATAGTCTCACCTTTGTTAATGGGAAGAAACCAAGTTTCTCCATGTTATATGAGCTGAGAGAAGTGAGTTGAGGTAAAAAAGACTTATCCAGACAAGTCATGTTACCTTGCAAAAGGGACACTCCCTGCTAATTGTAGAAAATAGTGGTCTTTCCACTACATAGAGCTTTGCCAACTATGGGTAAATAATTTCATAGACTAGGAAGAAATATAATCCCATATTATCAGATTTTCCTTCAAAAAGAGAGTTGTAATCTAAAACAGTGGGCTATTTGTGGATAGTGTATGAATCCAGCTTCTTTATGAATAAAGTAATGGTTTTGTTGATGTTCTCTGAAAACATTCACAGCTATATTTCACAGTAAATTATATATTGCTTATGGCATATGTGGTCCAGATTTTTAAAGTATGATTTTTTTCAGTTTTATTTCCCACAGAATCACTACTTGTATTTTATTTTTTTGTTTGTTTGTTCATTTTTTTAAGGCAGCTAACTTCTGTTGATCCTGGATCTCGTAGACACACTGTCCCTGGGAATTTTTTTTTAAATCTCCACTTATCTATAGAATAATGCATCTTTAATTTGTGGGCAATTGTAGGTATTACCACATGTACACACTCACAAGAAGTACTCTCATTTCACATAAGTAATTCATTTTATGACCATATTGATACTGTGGTACTGAGAATATATAACCATTTTTCTATAGAAATTATTTCACCTCTTATGAGATACATGTCCACATATTTTACTGTTCAGATTGAAAGACATGACAACTGTGCCTATGACTACCTAGAAGTCCGAGATGGAACCAGTGAAAATAGCCCCTTAATAGGGCGTTTCTGTGGTTATGATAAACCTGAAGATATACGATCTACCTCCAACACCCTGTGGATGAAGTTTGTGTCTGATGGAACTGTGAACAAGGCAGGGTTTGCTGCCAATTTTTTCAAAGGTAACAAAAAAACTTAAAGCTTATCAAGAATAAATGTGAGATTAGGGCTTGACTTATAGGCAATTAAGTAAAGTTATTCAGAAAGCTGGAATATGTTCTATTTGTAAGGATATTGGGTGGCTTCTAAAGGAGGAAGTTATTGAATACTGGAATTTAGAACTTTGTCACATAGGATAGAAACTACATTAGGATGTTACGCTCTTTATTTTTTATGAAATAATGATAATAGCACAACTCAGAAAGGGATAAAATATTTGCAACATAGTCAATAAAGGATTCATTACCAAAAGAGGTTTATGGCATATAGTTTATCAGTTGACTTCCAGGTGGCAGTATTTCTAAACCATCCCCTCCAGTCTACCACTCCAACATACTGGAAATAATTTATGGCCACCTCATAGAATATTCTGATACTTTAAGTGCCTTTTGACAAAATTATTACTGATAATGAATTATTGCTGATAATTAAATTTTAATTTATCTTCCTGCTGCATATTTGGTATGTTTTATTGAGGCAAAAAAGCAAGCTGCTTTAAATAAATAATAATATCAAATATGCATGTAGAAAATCCATAGACATTTTTATGAAGTGCTTCTTGTAGAATAACATTGTTTCATGGGAAGAGGAAACAATTTTTTTCTACACTGGACTTTATAAAATAAATGGTGGATGCAGTTATGCATATCTCATAATTTAGTGAGATTAATAGGTAAACATTTTTAATATTTGAAAAAAAGCAGTGTAATAGATTTTTCATTATTTGGGTGTTAATGAATTGAGAGGGAATCTTGATGCTTTTTCTGCAGATACTAGGAGGGTTTGTTGAGAATAGACTTCAGATTTTCTCTATATGTTATATCAAAATGTCTACACAAGAATCACTAAATATTTTAAAACTAAAGAGGTTGTTAGTTTCTGAGTTTTCATTTTTTAATTTATAGTCACCATAGGTAAAGTTATGTTTTTAAGTACATTTTTACTTAAAGGGATTTTCACTTCTGTACAATTTCTGGCTTTTAATAATTCCCATTTGACCTTAATATAAAAAAATGCACTCTGAGATCAGGTGATCACCAGTTGGCCTGTGGTAGATTTCTGTTCTTTCTCTTGGTGTCTTACAGTTCTTTTTTACTTTAAAGATTTATTTATTTACCTATGCAGACAAGAACAAGTACAAAGGGTGAGAAGATTCACCAGAAAGGGGAGGGGTACACAATAGTATTACACTGCTGAGGGGAGCAGCGGTTGAGATAGGATTAGTCTGTTGCTCCATGTGGGTCACCTTCTTGGCCGGGGATTGAACTCGTGGTGCAGTGGCTGGCTAGAGCCCAACACCACTGTCTTCAACCTCTGAGCCACCAGGGAGGCCCTCTATAGTTCTTAGCCCGCAGTGAGGTGAATCCCTGCATATCATCCATCTCAGACCTGTGAATCATCCTTGCTCCTCGTGGAAGGACGCAGTAGGCTTTTTAGTCAGAACCACTATGCATTACACTTTCAAACCAATTTCCGGTGTAGTGTACACCAGTAAAATATTCCAGCTGTTCTTCTACTCTCACTTTCTTTGTAGAGGAAGACGAATGTGCCAAGCCGGCCCGGGGAGGCTGTGAGCAGCGGTGTCTGAACACCCTGGGCAGTTACCAGTGTGCCTGCGAGCCCGGCTACGAGCTGGGACCTGACAAGAGGACTTGCGAAGGTATAGAGGGGCTCACCCAGGCGCCCGGGCCCGGAAGCCCAGCCCCATTCCCTTCCTTCTGTCACTTAATCCTCTCCACCACCATCATCTTTCTTTTCTTTTTCTCTGTAGCAGCCTTTATGCTCAACTGTGTCACAGCCAATGTGAAATCGTAATATATTCTTGTTTTAGAAACATTTTTTTTTCCTTCCTTTGGGTGCCAGTTCACCTTATTTTTTATGTATATTAATGTCTATGTCTGTATCTATGCTTATTTTATCTCGCTAGCTGGAACACATTTCTATTTTTATCTCTACAGACAAAATTAATGTACTGATCTTCCTCTTTGGAGTCTATTTCTCTTTCAATCCCCTCTTAAAATTTCTGCCCAAATCATCACAGAACTGTAGTCATTTAGCATTATTTAGATTTAGGCTCGTATTAATTTACTATTGGTGTTTCCTATAAAGATGCGAGCTCTAAAATGAACTTGCTGTCTACTTGCTGCAGCTGTGAAAAGGGACATAAGTGACATAGGTGGCAAAACTTTCCAGGAAGATGGATGGAATTTAAATCAGATGTGTTTGGTTATAAAAAGAAAGATGTTATAAAGGGGATCCCTTTATTAAGGGAACACTTCTGCTTTTTCTTTCCTTTCAGCGGCTTGTGGCGGACTCCTTACCAAACTTAATGGCACCATCACCACCCCTGGCTGGCCCAAGGAGTACCCACCTAATAAAAACTGTGTGTGGCAAGTGATTGCACCAACTCAGTACAGGATTTCTATGAAGTTTGAGTTTTTTGAGTTGGAAGGCAATGAAGTAAGTGAACAGTAAATATTCTTTTTTTCTATCATGATTCATGAATCACTTGAGGCAAACTGGTAAATGGAAAAGGAGGGGGAAGGGAGGAAGGAAGGAAGGAAGGAAAGAAGGAATGATTTTGATAATCTATTTTTGCTCTGCTGCTCAGTTTTGCAACTGCTTATAATTTATGTTGGCTTTAAATGATATTTGAGACTGTTTCTGGGAGATTGAAAATTACCAGGAGGGAGTTTCTACTCCATGCATGAATATACAGAATTGCCTTGATTTATTAAAGAATTATGAACAATTACATCAGCTTCAGATCACATAGATTTTTCTAGAAAAAATAAACCAACATCCACTAGTTGAGTCATAACAAAAATATCCATTTGGGAGAACCTGGTATATATTACTTGTGAAAATGGGTGTATTTTCATGAAATAGGTAGGTTTTCATCATGAATGCACTCATGGCTTACAGACCATGTTCATAAATACAAGAAGATTATTTTTTTTAACCTCATCAGAAGATACATTGCATTGGCACCATTTTTCTTTTACAAAACAGCACTTACGCAGTATAAGGTATACCTTTCTGATAGTGGACCACATTTCAACAGTCAGTGACAAGAGACATCTGTGTCATAGTATACACATACCATGCAAAACTGGAAGGTCAAGGCTAGAAATAACAACTTTTAGAACTGTGGTCTGTAAATGGCTGGTTAACACAGCCAGAGAAAAAGTAACAAATGCTCTTGTTCTATTTGAGTTTTCCTACTTTTTTGCTTTTCTTTTTCTAACTCCCATGTCTTTCTCCAACACGTTTTTTTCTGTGCTTATTTGAAAATGAACATGATTTAGTTTTCTAGATGTGATAAAGCTAACACCATTATTTTGTATTTAATATACATTTATTGGACACTTGAGAAGAAGTAAAAGAATAATTAACATTTGTGAACTTTAGACCATAAGTTTATCTTTTTGTTTGTTTGTTTTTTTCCCTTCTATTTTTTATTTCTTTTTAATTGCTTTTTTTTTTGGCCTGTTAATTCACCCTGTAGTTTTCAAGACACTTTATTTTTTTTTTTTTTTGTCTTTTACTAAGGCAAAGAGGCTTTTATAAAGGCAAAAAAGTAGTGCTAACATTTGGGTTTTCTTAAAGGAAATTAAAGTCTGACATGTGATTAACATTTCAGAGAATTGAAGATTTTTAGAGATAAATGGGCTGTTTGAAATCTTCTTTAAAATGCATATGTTGGTTTTATAATGGGAAAGAATTAAATTTGCATTTCTAACATATTTTATCCACATCATATTATATTCCTTTTAGACTTATCAGAAGCTTGGGGAAAATATTGAAATGAAGGACATATTTTCTATACTGTTTTCACAAAAATTTTGCTGAGTCACCCGTATTTGGAAATGAGAATCTCCTGAACACTTCTGTTTTAGTGTCAATGGCTTTTATCTTCTAGTATTCCCTAAAACTATTGTGATGGATATGGCATTTAAATTCATTAATTGATAAGTATTTCTAAAAGGCTAGAATTTTATTTTCTGGAATAAGGATGATGGATGATTTTACATCAATCGTGTACTGTGTTCCATAACCAAGGTTCATGTGTCCTGTTTGTAAAAGGATCTTTTACAAACTCTAATATATTATGAGATCACTCATTTTTTTTTTTAAGATTTATTTATTTATTCATACAGAACTGGGGTACAGGCCAGAGATGCGGAGGGTGAGAGGATTCACCAGGGACAGAGTGGGGAGCAGAACAGGCAGATCGAAGAAGTACACTGCTGAGGGGAGCAGCGGGCGGGCCAGGAGAGGTCTGCCACGCAATGTGATTCTCCTCCCGGGCAGGTGGGGATCGGACTCATGCGGAATTGGCTTAAGCTTCTTAGTGCAGTGCTTTAACCCGCTGCGCCACCAGGAAGGGCCGAGATCACTCATTTTATACTGATGTGTCTGTTTAGAGGGGTGTTGCACAATTCTGTGTATTTTCATAGTTTGACATCTTACTATTTATGAAAGCATAAGCAAAAATTCCCTTAGAGGCTGCTAGGTTTGTTTTATTTAATATCCCTAGGGAACACCAATGCTAAACATAGCCTTCCCCTATACTATGTTGAAGCCTGTTCTACACAAAAGTTGCAACAAAGTAGTTAGAGTACATCCTTAATTTTTCCTAGCAATATTTTGCTTATGTATGACCCTGTTAATATCACAAGAACCAATAGTTTAAGTTGACATATTGCAAAGTATAAATCATGCCCCAGGGCTCAATCATATGTATTGTTCACCTTGCTAAATACACATTTATAGAATAAAGACATTCATACAAGATATATTCTTTGAAGGTGTGCTGTCAGAACTTTGGAAAAGTGTTTTATGGAACATGTGCTATTAGCTATAAAGAATACCTGGCATTCACTTAACCTTCTTCCATTGTGTTGTTGTTAGTGGATTACCTACAAGTCAAGTTGATTAGAGTTTCTTTTTGTTTGCAATCCTGTTGCAGAGTAACTTCACAGTACCTCGCAACTCAAAAAAAATCAGTTCTTTTGATAAGTTTGAAAAGCAAAGATTCTTGTTTCTATGTTCCAAGTGTCTGTCTCACTTTGAAGATCCCTTTATCAGATTAGAATGTAGTTTGCTGAGGCTCAACACTGGACCAGCCCAAACTCCATTCTTTTGACCATCAAACTACCACAGATGATGAGTAAAATCTGGGGGCAAGTTATATAAAATTTTGTGAACCTCAAGTTTTTAATTTCTGGTATTAATGGTTGTTTCGTAGGTTGAATTATACCAAATTCAACTTCATAGACTGTTTGCACAAGGAGCTATTATTAAATAAGACAGAAACAATGGCTATTGTTGAAAGCATTGAGACACTACATGATGATTTCTCCATGGTGCCTCATAAAAATTACAAACAAGATAAACACTGCTGCTCTTTTTGTGACCATCAGCACCATTATCTCAACAATTATTCATCTCAGTTCTCGGTCAATTTTTTGTCTTTTTTGGAATAGATGCATGCTGCCAATGTCTATAAAAAGTATACATTAATATAAGTTTCTCTTGGATATCTATTCAGAGAAAAATTCTCCTTTCAGCTCTCTTTCACCCCTCCTGTTTCAAATAGAAACCTTTGATTTTCTTCCCTTTGTGTGTCAATTCTGGTTTAATTGTCCCAAATATAAGTTTTCCAAAAACAAGTATCATTGGATACTTTAACATCAGGTGACTCCAATAACTTTTTTTTTTTTTTAAGGTTTGCAAATACGATTATGTGGAGATTTGGAGTGGTCTTTCCTCTGATTCTAAATTACATGGCAAATTTTGTGGTGCTGAAGTGCCAGATGTGATCACTTCCCAGTTCAATAATATGAGGATCGAATTCAGATCTGACAACACTGTATCCAAGAAGGGCTTCAAAGCACATTTCTTCTCAGGTATCAGTATTCAGGTGTATATATGTCTGCTGTGCCTTCTCAAGGTGGATTGGCTTTTACTGCATGTCAACTGTCCTTCATCGTTCTCTGTTAAGTGTTTGGAAATACATGGAATACACCACCTTTATCCTAGGTTCAGCAATTGTTTACTTAAAATTCAGATGTTAAGAATAGGGCCACTGATACACTTAGATTGTAAGTAATATCTAATTAAATACAAAAAGACTAGTACAAATAGCATAACGTTTTATAACAAGATTTTATGATGACTTTATGAGGAGATGAGAATAAGAGCAGATTTCAAAAAAGTAGCAGACATTTTTCAAAATAATTTTTCTTGTTTTTGTAATATGTAGTCTTTATATTTTTATTCTTTATATTTTTATTCTTTATTCTTGCAATTTGGCAACATTTTTCTTATTCTTTTTATTAGTATATGGCCTTTCTTTTTATTAAATGGGAATTAACATAATACTTTTCCTTCTGACTCCAGAAATAATAACAGTAAGAGGCATAAACATATGGATATTATAATTTTACTACTTAAGAGTTGAAGGTTCTGTGTTTGGAGTTTAATGTTTAGTTTAACCAACTCAAAATATAATGTCCTCACTAAAGAGCTGTAAAGTCACCAAACAATAAGACATAGGAAGCTTATTTTCCCAATTTCAGAATCATGCTTTATAAAAATAACATTCTGCAACTTCAAATAGAGATGAAAATTTTAATAAACCTTAGTATAGCAATCTACTCTGTGTTTCAGGCTGGCAAGTAATTTAAAGCAACTGAATTCCAATTATGTTTTAATATTAAGTAATTTGGATTGAGTTAATTCAAAGTCCATTTAGCCCTGTCCCATGTGTTTAAAATTAATGAGATTTACAATGCCCATGGTTTGTTTGGGGTTTTCAGTGTAATTGCAGTTAATGGTTCACAAGCTCCATTGAGGTCCAAGTTACACACAAAAGTAGGTTCCACATACAATGGGCTTGGCTTCCTTTGTCTTTTTCCTTTCCTTTCCCCCTGATTTAACTGCCTTTTAAAAATTCTTCTAAGACATTCATTTAAGATTTATGCTATTTAAAGTAGAGTTTAAATGTCCTATTTCAATGAAAGGAAGACTTTCTTAGACTTTGCCATTTTATATATGTCATGTATTTTGTAAATCTTAGTGATTTACTGGTTAGCGATAAGACCTCTTATCTTAGAGACACTCAAATATTTATTTAAAATTGAAATAAAAAAGTAAATAAATGTTATCATAGGGTTAATAACATTTAAATCATTTTTACTTACTTTAATCATATATTGTATTTAGTAATTCCTCTTTTAAATGATACATGCTACGTACATACTGATGAGAGAGAGTTTAGTTAAGTAAAGGTTACCTAGTACATTGGAAATTCATTGCGATATTTTTGGTCAAGAAAAACTTTCAAAATTATAAAGACGTACTTTCTGGTTGTATCTTTAGAGCAATACTAAGAAGTACAGGCCTGCTTTTTCAGTTCTGGCAAAACGGATATGACAACACATATGAAAGATGCTATTCTGTAGCGCGTGAGAGTCTATAGCCTTCATTTCTATCTCTCTGTAGCTGTGCTTTGTAACATTAACTATGCACCTTGGTAGACAGTACTGTACAGTCATGGTAGCTAACTTGCTGTAATCATGTTCAGATCACTGGAAGTCATCTCTGTTTTTTAAAGAATTAACTAAGTAAAAATAATATATTCTCAAAGACTCCAACCTAGATGGCTTCATGGAGTGCTAGCAGTTAAGTAAATTAAACAATGAAGCCTAAGGGGAAATTAAGCTCCAGATTTTTATATTATAGCTACTATTTTAGAGAACTAACTATGCAAGTATTTATTATCCGTTTAATAATCAAAATATAGCTATAATTTTCCAATTGCTATATTCATTTGACAGGTGAGGCAGCTGAGGAGTTAAAAAATTGCTCAGTGACATGAAGCATTTAAATTCTAATTTGTCTTGGTTTGTCTTTGCTCTTTGCAAATGACAATAGTAGTATGTGAACTCTCCACATATGTAGGTCCTGAAAAACAACAGATATACTCTTCACTTCTTCATTATATTGTTGTTTTGTAAAGACCAAGATAATTATCATTTAGTATAAACTTTCTGTGTTTTCATTTTGATATGGTGGAAAGTTTTGGCACTTGTTCAGATTCTTATTTAAAATGCTATGGCTCTGCATTAGTAATTAGATCTATTACACATTTAATTTCCTGGGAGTTTCTATTAGCAAGGAAGATATTTACTTGGGAAAAGAAAAATTGAAAGCAATATATCTATTACTAAATATCTGATATGGTATATCAAGAGATAGCAACAAATAAGTTCATAGCTAAAAATCCTAATTATGATCATTGTACAAAATTATAATTTACAAAAGATCACCCACTTTCCATTCACATTGAGAACATTATTTTAGGGTCCTAGTAAGTCCTTCAGTGTGACAATATGCAATCCTGTGTTAAAAGCCAAATAATCTATTATATCTATATTCATTAGAAAGTAAGCATGCAAACTATAAGGATACAGTTCTTCACAAATAAAAATAAAGGATTTTTTAATGTTAAAATTCACTATTATAAATTTGATATAAACACAATGGGTTTATTGTAAAAAAAACTTTTTAGAAAGAAATTTGGCAAAGGATCAGGAGTCATTACAATGACTATTCTCTTTGTCTCATAAATCCCATTCTTGGGATCCTTTTATGAAGAATCTGAAAGAACATCACTATAATGCAATGATTTCAGAAATTTGAAGCAATCTAATAATGTCACAGAGGAAAATGGTAAATAAGTTATTGCAAATGCATTTTGTTGTGTACAGATAAAGGTGATTTGATGTTTCCATGGTATAAAAATTGGATATGATAAAATATTAATAGAATTCCAACTATATAACACAGCTATGCATGTGGGCAGAAACAAACTTGAAAGTGGTTATTATATAAAAATACCAAGAATGTTTGTCTTAAGGTACAAAGAGAGTACATTTTCTCCAGTTTCCTTCAGAGATTTTTGAGTGTGATTTAAATATAAAAATAAAACTATAGAACACCAATTATATCATACTTGGTATATAATCATAACTATTGCTCAAAATATTTTTAGATTGGCAAACATTAGGCTTTGGCCTTTGAGAGTGAGGAAATTTTTAAATGCATCTCATTATTCATGAATATTAATAAACATTAGTAATAGTAATTTAAGTTTTTATTGAGTTAAATTATATAATCTTAGTTTTTACAATATATATTATCTGATTGAATAAATATTATTTTACTGTATTATATACTACAGATAAAACATATGTATATCATGTTATTATATGTGCATTATAATAAATATATCATTATATTGTATATATTAATCAAAAATTTTTGTGATGACTTACTTAGTCTTTAATGATTCTGTTTTAAACAGTATCCTAAAAATTTCAGAAGTGACTTTGAGTTCATGAAAACATAACAAGGATTATAATATGTCTAGCTTTTCCACATTATTTTTCCAAGAACAATTATCAAGTAATTCAATAATAAGAAGAAATAGCCTTTAATAATATATAACTACATATTATTTGGGATGGAAAGTTATTTAAAAATAAGTTTGTGCTCTTTTGCAGTTGAGTGATGCATAGAAAGAAAAAGGAATATACTTAAATTTTTAATGTATAGAGTGAAATAAAATATTTATAGGCCAAAATACAATAGTTAGCAATCATATAGAGTTTTGAGTTATTTTTGCACAGAGATTAAGTCTCATAAACTTATGAAGTAGAATTGAAAAGATGATAATAAGAATTTATTAGTAAAATAATTACTATCTATACTTGTCACTTCCATGTCAATAAATGTAACAAACTGTTACATATAAATCTTGATAAAATGTCATAAGATAGCATGAATATGTAATGTGAAAATTTGGAAATTATTACACAGTAAAAAATTTGTGTGTACCTCTGCAAAAATCAAAGTGTCATAAACCATACTAATTCTAAGGTACAGTTAAAAAAATCATATTAAAGCAACGAAGGAATATCAAAGGAACAATCTTTGAACACTGTTTAGAATTATGCAACTGCTCAATTGTTTAGCTAATTTGGTGACAGCATTTTCCAGATAATATCCAATGGAATATGTCACTGGTCTTTTCTTAGTATGGATGGAGGTTGTTATTAGAGTAACTGTAATGACTTGCTTTATATAATGATAAAACAATTACTTTTATATGCCACTGTATTTGAATAAACATATACACATCTATTCAGATATACATGATGTAGTGATGTAGTTTGTTTATTTTAAGTAGTGAAATGAACTATACTCAGAACAAATTATTTTTCTTTAGATGGGTTAAAGGAAATAATAGGAAGCATTTATGTGTGTAAAAATGGCAACATTTGGGAAATTGACATGCTTTTAAAAACTTAATTGTAGCATTCACATTTGGGATGACAAATGACTTTAGATGATGAGAGTTTAGACATTCTACTTCCTTAGAGCAGGCTGTACTCACGAAGGGACTCAATCATGACCTCCATGACACAAGAACAGAAAATTGGAAGAATAAGCCTCATTTAATAGCTGGCTTCCTCATAGATAAGTTAATGAGAATGTGATCTATTGCTGGTATATCTAGTATCATGCTTAGTGGCAGCATGGAATTAAATCCAGATTTCCTGACTTTTACTTCATTCCTGTCTAACACACATGGGAGTCAGACACTATGATTTGTTCAATTTTTTAACCTCTTGACTACAAGTGATTTCAGCTGCCATGCTTCTAATTTTATCCACCTTACACTGTGTATAGGTACATTTCCACACTGTCCCTATTCTACGGTATTTCTCTCTTGGAATGTGTATAGATCATTTTAGAAGAAATTCAACCTGAAATTATTCTAACAAGAAGTATTAACTAGAATAACTTTTAACTACAAATAGTAAAATGATTGCAATTTTTCTACATGGTTTTAAACTCTTCTCCCAGGTTTTCATAATCAAGGATATTTAAGTATTTGTATGTTTATGGAAAGAGCAAACTACTTCTTTTGTAACTATCCTTCTGGGAGGCAGTTGATAGTTTCTAGTGGAAGCTGTGGTTGTGTGCACAGATGCTTGGGAGTGTGTGTGCATGTGAATTTGCAGAACTGTGCATAGGTCTGTTTATTTTATTTTTGAGCAATTATTGTGAGTACATCCTCTTGTATATATTTCCAGTGCATGAATCCTTTACTTCTTTGTCCTACAGACAAGGAAGCATTTTGCAAAGTGAAACTTTTTATTTTTTTTATTTTTATTTTTTTTTTTAAAGATTTATTTATTTGTGCATACAGAACTGAAGTACAGGCCAGAGGCTCAGGGGCTGTGAGAGGCTTCACCAGAGACAGAGTGGGGAACAGAACAGGCAGATCGACGGAG